ATTTATTTTTGATTTAAATGTCAAAGCTGATTGAACACTGATGAGAATATTGTTTTAGAATAAATTAACACACAAAATAAAAAATCCAGACGAGCAACTTTTTTACTCGTACAAATGAATGGCAGATTTACTTATCCGAAGGACAAGCGTATGAAAAGGCCTCCCTATATAGCAATGTTATCATGATACACATACACCAGTAGGCAGTGGCCCACCTTACCTGGTGACCACGTCGTGGTCCACCAGAATTTATAGTTAACCCACCACTTTTTTTTACTACAACACCTCTGCTCACAGCGCTCCCACAGCGTCAATCGACGCAAAGTCTCGTTGCCTCTACAGGGAACCAAGGTTACATTCATACTCATAACCAATATACATGAAATCTGAAATTTTTTAGATTCTTCTTATAGTTATTATTTTGAAATAATTGTAAAAAATGCTTAAAACTATTCTTTATTAGATTTGTAGGCCGGGTTTAATAAAAACAAGAACATTTATCACATTCATGTGAAAACAAAAAATAGATTTTTTTAATAAAAATTATAGTATAAGTATTGTTTATTTATTTTACAGAAAATGAGAGTAACTAGAACATGAATTTACATTGGATTAAAGGGGTTTTTAAAAAATCACTGGGGACTTTGCTACCCTATTTATTAAAATACTGTAAAATTAATTATATATGGAAATAATGCATAGCAGCGCCATAATCAATATATTAAGAAATAAAACTATATTTCTAAATATTAAAATTATTTAATGTTTTATATGAAAGCATTTGAATAGTTAATTCTTTATTTGTTTGCATACACTGGGACATCTGAACTATATCTTAATGGGCAGCAGAGGGCAATATGCTCAAAGTGATTCAGGACAAACTGCAACTTGAATCACTTTGTATAATGACTGTGAAATTGTAGTCTGTAGAGTATGCTATGTCACTTAGTTTTGATGTAATGTCTGCATGCTAAATAACATCACCTATTCCCATAGTAAACATACAGTAAACAGAGCACAAGTATAAATCAGATGGCAATGAATGACATCAACAAAGAGCTTTTCACCAGCACCGAAGCATGATAAAACGGCTTCTTTATTTTAACTACATTTGTTTATTTGGTTTGGTTATTTAATTTGCTGTTGTTAGAAATCTATAGCTGCCTTTTTGAGGGAATATAGGTGCAACAAAGCAAAATGGAAAAATGACCGATCAAATTCAGACAGCAACATAGCTTCAAAGGTGTGTTGAGATTAGGATTAAATCTATAATTTTAATTATAGTTTTTTATATGAGAAATGTAAATGTACTATCATTCAACCTTTTTAATACTGGTTTAAACAGGGTGTCAATAGACATTCACTATGTATCTAAATGGATCTGTATTTCCACTTGTCTTGACTTTGCACTCTTTGGAAATCCCTCAAACAAGCATTTATCCAGCATTCATGTTTGGAATGATAACATACTTGTTTATCTTACTCTGCAATCTAACAATTGTTTCCACCATTTGCTTGAACAGGAATCTTCATAAACCAATGTACATTCTGTTGCTTAACATGCCTATCAATGATGCTATGGGTGCTACAAGCCTTTTTCCTCAGCTTCTGTATAGTATATGGTCTCAGGACAGATCATTATCCTACCCTGCATGTTTGCTTCAAGGCTTTATTATACACTTATATGGTGGGGCATCATATGTTATTCTTACTGCTATGGCCTATGACAGGTATATCGCTATCTGTTGCCCATTGAGATATGGAGCCATTTTGACAACCAATAATTTGGTGAAAATCATAACTGGGATGTGGTTTTTTCATTTTAGTCTCATAATTGTACTTTTCTCTCTTCTTCTGCCTCGTCAGGTTTGCCAGACATACATGGCAGATCTTGTCTGTTATAATCCATCTATAATGAAACTTATGTGTGAAGATACAAAAGTTAACAATATCTTTGGATTGTTTACCCTGGTTTTATACCACAGCCTTTCACTTTCTGTTTTGGCATTTACATACATTAATATACTAATCAGCTGTGTTACTAACAAGCAGTCCGATGCAAAGATTAAGGCACTTCAGACATGTGGTACTCATTTGGTCGTCTTTCTTTTCCTAGAGTTTAACACTCTTTTTCCTCTTGTTGCACATCGATTTGATAGTGTTCCCGATCACCTACGCAGGGTGTTTTCTATATCAGTTCTTGTGTTCCCTCCCCTTGTGAATCCACTCATTTATGGTTTTAAAACTAAAGAGATCAGACAGAAAGTTCTCACCTGTTTTAAGAGGAAGACAATCAGTGTCTGAACAATTATTCTTTTCTTCTTTTTTTGATACTGTCTTCCTTTCAGATGTGAGTTGTTTTCAATCACCTATATGTGTTTATTTATAGACAGTTGTCAAACATGCAACATTTAAAATCTCACAAAAATAAATGGTTCAGTCATTGAACTCTATTCACATTCTGATTGATTCAGCCAATTGATTTCATGTATTCTTTACCATTTCCCTTTATAACCACTACGCACCCAAATGATAAACTATATGTGCTGTGTACAGTCTACCTCTAGTAGAAACAGAATGTTTCCAGTAATTGTTTGTTTTGAGCAATTAGCAGAAGCAATTCATACTTGCTCTGCAGCATAGACATACACACTAGACGTCACCTTGGGGTTCTATGCATGCGTCAGACCCGCCGCCATCTTGGAACAGGGGTCTTCTCATAGGAAGTAGCTAGGTAACGCTGCTATCTCTGCCTTTACTCCGAATTCATTGATGGTGGCGGACTTTTGTGCAGCATATGATGTTCACGGATGAAATATGAACTATATGTTTTTAAAAAAATTTTTTTTTTAAATCAATGATAAATACATGTTTGACCATTGGAACAAACCAAAAAAAGGTGATTTTATTTCCGTTAGACTTTGTGTCTACATTGATGCTGATGTATTAAAGTGGAGGGGCTCCCCTGTTTCAAGATGGCGGCTCTATTGATGCATTCGTTCCAATGAACTGCCGTAGCCAAGGTGACGTCTAGTGTATGGCTCTGTAGCAGCAGCAGCGTATACAGCCCATTCTCACCCCCAAGGCGTCACTTAACTGACTTAACCTTGGGAAGCATTTGGACATGCTTCAATATCTGACGCTTTAGGCGCCCTTTAGCGTCAGTTAGATGACGCCCTAGGATCGCGTGTACCCTACCCCCACCCCACACCTAAACCTAACCGCGTCCTCTAACTGACGCTTTCCTTTAGCGTCAGTTAGATGACGCCGTAGGATCGCGTCATGTAAGTGACGCTAAAGGGCGCCTAAAACGTCAAATATTGAAGCATGGTCAAAGGTGACGCCTTGGGGTAAGAATGCGTTGGTTTTCAACTGTTTCTTGAGCATCATATTATAATAATTTCTGTAGGATCATGTGACACTGAAGACTGGAGTAATGATGCTGTAAATTCAGCTTTGATCACAGGAATAAATTACACTTCACTATATATTCACATAGAAAACCACTGTTTTAAAGTCCCCGTGAAATCAAAATTGAACCTATTTACTTTGTTAGCGCATATTACTAGTCTTGTGGTGAACAATTAATCCGTGCAAGTAAAAATATATTTAAAAAATGTTTTACCTTGGTAATCTTTAATCAAAATCTGAAAAGTTACTTCCGGTCTGGAACGGTTTCTTTTTCTGATGACGTAGGTTTCACAACTTGGGTGGGGAAACGCTTAACCACTCCCCTCAAACCGTTAGTTTGCTATGAGCGAGAGATGGAGAGGAGGAGCGCTAGAGTAAAACCCTGCCCTCTGTTCAATATTCCGTTTCACTTGGAAATACGTCACAGCACTGGAGAAAAATCGTTTGCAACTTCCGGTTCACGGGGACTTTAAATTGTAATAATATTTCACAATATTACTGTTTTTTTATCAAATAATTGCAGCCTTGGTGAGCTGACGAGACTTCTTTAAAAACATAAAAAATCTTATCGATCTAAAAATTTTGACTGGTAGTGTACATGAAATCTGAAATTTGTTTGATGGTTCTTATTATAGTTATTATTTTGAAATATGTAAAAAAAAATGCTTTAAACACTACTTTATTGGATTTGTAGGCTGGGTATAATAAACAAGAACATTTATCACATTCATGTAAAAACAAAAAAATTATTTTTTTATAAAAAATTATAAATATTGTTTATTTATTTTCCAGAAAATGAGAATAACTGGAACATGAATTTACATTGGATTAAAAAGATTTTTTTTTTTTAAACACTGGGGACTTTGCTTCTTTATTTATTAAAATACTGTAAAATTAATTATATATGGAAATAATGCATCTAGCAGCTTCATAATCAAGATATTAAGAAATAAAACTATATTTCTAAATAATACTATTATTTAATGTTTTAAATGAATGCATTTGAAAATAGTTCATTCTTTATTTGTTTGCATACACTGGGATTTCTGCACTATATCTTAATGGGCAGCAGAGGGCAATATGCTCAAAGTGATTCAGGACAAACTGCAACTTGAATCACTTTGTATAATGACTGTGAAATTGTAGTCTGTAGAGTATGCTATGTCACTTAGTTTTGATGTAATGTCTGCATGCTAAATAACATCACCTATTCCCATAGTAAACATAAAGTAAACAGAGCACAAGTATAAATCAGATGGCAATGAATGACATCAACAAAGAGCTTTTCACCAGCACGGAAGCATGATAAAACAGCTCCTCTATTCTAACTACATTTGTTTATTTGGTTTGGTTATTTAATTTGCTGTTGTTAGAAATCTATAGCTGCCTTTTTGAGGGAATATAGGTGCAACAAAGCAAAATGGAAAAATGACAGATCAAATTCATCCAGTAACATAGCTTCAAAGGTGTGTTGAGATTAGGATTAAATCTATAATTTTAATTATAGTTTTTTTATATGAGAAATGTAAATGTACTATCATTCAACCTTTTTAATACTGGTTTAAACAGGGTGTCAATAGACATTCACTATGTATCTAAATGGATCTGTATTTCCACTTGTCTTGACTTTGTACTCTTTGGAAATCCCTCAAACAAGCATTTATCCAGCATTCATGTTTGGAATGATAACATACTTGTTTATCTTACTCTGCAATCTAACAATTGTTTCCACCATTTGCTTGAACAGGAATCTTCATAAACCAATGTACATTCTGTTGCTTAACATGCCTATCAATGATGCTATGGGTGCTACAAGCCTTTTTCCTCAGCTTCTGTATAGTATATGGTCTCAGGACAGATCAATATCCTACCCTGCATGTTTGCTTCAAGGCTTTATTATACACTTATATGGTGGGGCATCATATGTTATTCTTACTGCTATGGCCTATGACAGGTATGTCGCTATCTGTTGCCCATTGAGATATGGAGCCATTTTGACAACCAATAATTTGGTGAAAATCATAACTGGGATGTGGTTTTTTCATTTTAGTCTCATAATTGTACTTTTCTCTCTTCTTCTGCCTCGTCAGGTTTGCCAGACATACATGGCAGATCTTGTCTGTTATAATCCATCTATAATGAAACTTATGTGTGAAGATACAAAAGTTAACAATATCTTTGGATTGTTTATCCTGGTTTTATACCACAGCCTTTCACTTTCTGTTTTGGCATTTACATACATTAATATACTAATCAGCTGTGTTACTAACAAGCAGTCCGATGCAAAGATTAAGGCACTTCAGACATGTGGTACTCATTTGGTCGTCTTCCTTTTCCTAGAGTTTAACACTCTTTTTCCTCTTGTTGCACATCGATTTGATAGTGTTCCAGATCACCTACGCAGGGTGTTTTCTATATCAGTTCTTGTGTTCCCTCCCCTTGTGAATCCACTCATTTATGGTTTTAAAACTAAAGAGATCAGACTGAAAGTTCTCACCTGTTTTAAGAGGAAGATAATCAGTGTCTGAACAATTATTCTTTTCTCTGTTTTTGATACTGTCTTCCTTTCAGAGATGTGAGTTGTTTTCAATCACCCATATGTGTTTATTTATAGACAGTTGTCAAACATGCAACATTTAAAATCTCACAAAAATAAATGGTTCAGTCATTAAACTCTATTCACATTCTGATTGATTCAGCCAATTGATTTTACCCAAAGGATACACTTTATGTGTACAGTCTACCTCTAGTAGAAACAGAATGTTTCCAGTAATTTTATGTTTTGAGCATGGCAGAAGCAATTCATACTTGCTCTGCAGCAGCAGCGTATAGCAGATCTAGTCCACCAAGACCAAACATGTACATTTCATTTACATTAATACAATTTTAAACAAACAATCCCAGAGTTGTTATGACTGAAAAATATCACTTTTTCATAGGCATTAACTATTAAAATGTAACTACTTTAATCAATAATCTGCTGACAATGCTACAATGTCTCTGTCACGATTTCCCACGCACTTCCTGGGTTAATTTGGACTACATTTTTAACATTTCAGGTTAGGCTATTGCTAATGAATGACGTCAGCTCTGGTCAATACAATGAAAAAATGCCATTGATCTCTATGAAGTGAAGCTTCAGCTTCGCATTACCCATGTGCCGCATTGCTGCTGAGCCTTGTAAAGTTGAGCTTAAAGTTAAAATTAAATATTAAAATAAATAACAGCTTGTTTCATTACGTCTATATTTGAATGAATCCTCATTTTTTACATTTTCGTTGAACAAACAGTGTAATGGCTCACTCAAAGACAGTCCCTTGTTGCCACATAGTAGCCTAACAATGTAACTAGACTGAGTGACAGTTAACCAGCACCTCCAGCACGTTAATTTTGGAAACCAATTGGCCGGGGTTCAAAACATTATTGGCTCATTTATGTACGGGTGCTTCTTGGTTAAGAAAGAGGCAGGAGAAGAGAGTGGTGGTTCAGGTTGGAGAGGATGTGCCGGGACCCTCAGGGCCTGTCTCAGAGGAACACGGAGCGCATCAGAAAGGGAAATCCTTTCTGAGTGCGATGATTTTCCTCTAAGAACAGTCCCGAGATGAAACGCTCAAAAATGCGTTTGATCAGGTCCGCTTGATCGACGGACAGCCCGTCCACCCAGACCAGCCACTCTCATATCCTTATTTGGCCGTTATAAAAGATAAGTTGTATCGGGTGACCCAGGACACCCAGACAAAGCAAGATACAACTCAATTGTTAGATCCAAAGAGCCGCCGGGAAATGCTGTTTCAGGCGGCTCACTGTAATCCGATATCTGGGCATTTAGGGCAAGCAGCTACACTAAATTGCCTAATGACCCGATTTTTCTGGCTGGGCATTCACGAGAATGTGCGCAGGTGGTACGCGTCTTGTCGTGAATGTCAGTTGGTGAACCCACCGGCCAACCGAAAAGCACCTTTGTGCCCCCTCCCATTAATAGCATGGACCTCATCGGGCCATTAGAATGATCTGCACGGAAGCATCGCTTTGCATTAGTTCTGGTGGATTATGCAACGCGATACCCCAAAGCAGTGCTGCTTCGCAACATTTCTGCCATGAGATTTCAATTAATCTTCCGGGTGGAATTCCCGAAAGAGATTCTCATCAATCAGGGCACGGCATTTATGTCTAGCAGAATTCGCGAACTGTACGAATTAAAGGGCATTAAACCGATTCGTACCAGCGTCTATCACCCACAAACAGACGGCTTGGTAGAACGATTTAATCGCACGTTGAATTCCATGATTTGTAAGTTCGTTCGGGAAGACGCCAAAAATTGGGATAAGTGGTTAGAACCCCTCTTGTTCGCTGTACGTGAGGTCCTCCAAGCCTCCACGGGGTTTTCCCCCTTCGAGCTGCTCTATGGACGCCAACCCTGCGGGGTGCTGGACGTGCTTAGGGAAGCTTGGGAGGACGGACCTTCGAACAGTAAAAATGAAATTCAATATGTCCTGGACCTGACAACAAAACTCCACACTTTGGGGTGGCTCTTTATGGAGAATTTGTTACAGGCCCAGGACAAACAAAGTCGGCTATACAACAGGGGGGCTAAACTACGCAAATTTGCACCAGGAGATAAAGTGCTTGCATTGCTTCCCACATCCAGCTCTAAATGAAGTGGCAAGGATCGTTTGTGGTCACACGGTGAATCGGGTATCTCAACTATGAGATTCTTCTATCAGATAGGGATGGAACACATCAGATTTATCACCTCAACCTGTTGAAAAAATGGAATGAGGCGGAGTCAACGATGCTGGCGATGGTAGTGAGTGGGGAGGAGGATCTCGGGCCATAGGCAAACTTAAAATCTCAATTCCCCGCTCTGGCCATTTGCAGAGACCACCTCACGTCCCAGATGGCTGACATTCGAGGTTTACAAACAGAGTTTGCTGATGTATTCTCGCCCCTCCCTGGTGCACAACCGGCCATATAGATTACCTGATCATAAAAAGAAAGCAGTTCAGGATTAATTAGAGGCTATGCTGGATATGGAAGTAATCAAAGAATCCAACAGTGACTGGACTGTGCCCTTTTGCTGTAATCAGCAAACTGAGTGTGGATGAAGACGTGATCTACAAAGCTGTGACAGCGAATGGAGTGTTACTGAATCTGTGACCAGAGAAGCTGTATCCAGCGGGAAGAGTACTGTTTGATGTGATTTATTTTGTTCTAGTGAGTCTATTGTGTGAGCGCGCAGTCGCACTGTGGGGAGAGAATTCTAAAATAAAGTGCACTAGCCCCAGCATTCGGCGACCCCGAGTCTCCTTCCATCAACCAAACACGAACCCTGAGTTATATCACACAGCCCTTTTGTGCCTTCTCATGCATCGCCTTTAGCCGCACATCATGCTTGACCTGCGTCCGTCCCCAGACCAGGATGTCATTCATGTGACACAGTACCCCTTCGAGGCCACCGGTCACTTCTGTCATCATCATCCTTTGATGGTAGTCGGTTAAAATAGAAGGTGGTGATGAAGGTGGTGTATTTGGCAGACTCTACTTGCTCTAGTACTGATTCATTCATCCTTGTGAAAAATGGTCACATACGGTCTATCTCCTCCTTCACTTTTCCCATAAGCAGCAGAGGGACTCTGCGTGGAGCGTGAAGAGAGAAGGGCACAGCATCTGGCTTTAATTTGATTGAGTATGGCCTCCATAAAAGACCAGTACCAGTGTCAATTTTAAAGCACACTTTTTTGTCTCTCAATTGTAGCTGCACGGTCCACGGGTTTTTTTTCCGCATCCAGGCATAAACTCTCTTCTTCTTCTGTAGAGACAGCATTCAAAGATTTCACACTGTTCTGCACACTTTGCCATAATGTCCTGTTTTTCCACAGTTGTGACACCCAGCATCTGTAGCAGGGCATTCTATTCTTCCATGTGAGGGCATTTCTTCACATCTATAACAGGACTTTGAACCTTGCTGTGGCCATTCATTAGATTTATATTCGCGTGATGCTTGTGCTTGTGGCTGACAAAAATTGTGCTGATGGCTGAAGCTTTGATGCACAGCATCAACATTATAGCACTTGCTAGCGCCGCCCTTTTCTCCCCTGCTGTCTTCTAACTTCTTCGGACTGCCTTGTCTCGGTTATAGCAGTTTCAAGGGTTAGATCTCTGTCTAGCTGTAACCTTTCTGACAATGAGACGTTTTTCAGCTTGACCACTAACCTGTCACGTATCAGCTCAGTCTGTAGCTGTCCATATTGCAATGTTCCACTAATCTATACAGAGCAGTTATAAAGGAATCCACCGCTTCTCCCGGCAGCTGCACACGCCAATTGAACTTGGCTCTCTCATATATTGCATTCTTTTTAGGCACAAAAAATGCTTCAAAGCCTGTCTTAACATCCATGTACTTCTTCCTCTCCTCTGCAAAGCACCTGTTCATCGCCCATACAATACACTAACATGTTTACCTGGTTTTCTTCCGACGTTGCGTATATGTGGCCCAAGTGGAGGCTGCTGCTGAGGCTGAGTTGGCAAGGTGGGGGTGGTTTGGGGGCTTCTTTTCTCTTTATTCTTGAGGATTTTATGTTTTGTATGTATGATCTTTGAACTGAATAAGAAATGATGTATTACCTGACCTAATAAATTGTTACCTTTGATTGTATTCTGACTTAAAGGGTTAGTTCACCCAAAATTGAAAATTCTGTCAGTATTTACTCACCCTCATGTTGTTCCAAACCTTACCATAGTAAAAAAAAATACATACTATGGTAGTCGATGGGGATTGAGATCTGTTTGATTAAAACATCCTTCCAAATATCTTCCTTTGTTTTCAGCAGAACAAATAAACACATAAGGGTTTGGAACAACATGAGGGTGAGTAAATACTGACAGAATTTTCATTTTTTTGGGGTGAACTAACCCTTTAATGATTATTAACTTTAGTAGATTACGTTGTAAATCTGTGTCAGATTAGTAACGGACTAACGTCCAGTTTTGAGTGGAGCATATCAGAGTTTCAGCTAATATTTGGCACTAATTTAAGTGTACTTGGGATGTAAAAACAAAAAGGGACTTTCTGTTTAGGACAGCTAAATGCTGCTCTACCAAACTAAATAGGGTGAGTCTTACCTCTGTTTAATGTTACTTTAGTTAATTGTATGTGGGAAACCATGGCATTACAAAACCAAAGCTACTACCAGAGAAGTAATATCTGCTTATATCTGTAATAATAGTCATGACCTCTGTCTAAAGAAAACGTTTCTTTAATTCAAGTGTATACAACCAAGGGGCTATACAACATATCTTAGATTGAGTAAGCATGAATACGACCGCCTGAGGTATTAATCAATAACCTCTGTTTTGTGACCAAAAACTGACGAGTTTGTGATCGTGGTTCCACATAATATTCACGTCCAGTGCAAGGACTTTGGTACCCGAATGAACGATTAATAAGAGTAAAGAGTTAAATAGAACAGTCAAATGTATTGCTAAACTATTATATAAATGACCAATAACAAATTGGCATTCCAACCTAAATTTGAGGTTGTGTCCGATAAAAGCTTAACTGGAATCAAATTACTTTGACATGCGTAAAAGACAGTGACACCCAGTAAACCCTCACCGCTTATTGTAAACTGCGGTTGGACCGATTTGACAGGCCTTGCACAGTATATAGAGATTATTTCAAAAAGTTTGAAAGTATAGTTACTGTATATTTTGGCCAAAGCATGAAACAGCACTCTTTCTTCCAACAGTCATTTTACATTTGGTAGACACTTTCTCCAAAGCAACATTGCTTTTCAGGGTACACAATTTTTACAGTCTTTTGTTCAGTCTTTGCTTT